AGGTCCCTCTGCAGAGCCCTCCTCCCCTCCAGCAGATCAACACTACCACCCAGTTTGGTGTCATCTGCAAATTTACTGAGGGCACACTCAATCCCCTCATCCAGGTCATGGATAAAGATATTAAACAAGACTGGCCCCAGCACTGAGCCCTGGGGGACACCGCTTGTGCCCGGCCGCCAACTGGATTTAGTTCCATTCACCACCACTCTCTGGGCTCGGCCATCCAGCCAGTTTGTAACCCAGCGAAGAGTACACCCATCTAGGCCATGAACTGCCAGCTTCTCCAGGAGAATGCTATGGGAAACTGTGTCGAAGGCTTTGCTGAAGTCCAGGTATACAACAAAGCGCACCCTGGCAGGACTCAGTGGAGAAGTGAATCCTGTTGGAAATTGTGGAAATGCTTCCACAAAGCTTTCTCCGTCACCACTGGGTCATCTTTACCACACAATTTCAACTTCCTGGGTTTTCGGCATATGAACTTTGGTCTAGGGCTCTTCTCAACCCTAAACCTTAAGAATTGTACTTGAGTTAATTGTAGTAAGTGCCCTTGTGAAGCTGAGGCTGAAAGTGTCCTCAGCTCCCTCAGTCTCGATCAAAACAGGAACTCGAAGACGCCCAACCGTACTGTGCCTTGTGTGTTCAGCACTGGAACTGTACCCTGAAAACTCTGACAGATGGCTGTCAGAAAGCGAACTTTGCTGTTTACTCTCTCCCAGAAACTCTTCTTTGAATCCTCTTGTACTCGGTATTATAAGGGCATCTTTGAAGAAAGTCCTACAGCCCTTTTCCAACGTCTATTTAAAAGCTTCAGCATATTTTCTTTAGACTTGGATATTTTAGGTCAGAAGGGACATCCAGAGGCCACCTACTCCAAGCCCTTGCTCAGAGGGGAAGGCCACCCCTGATTTTTATCCTCCAATTATTAGCTCTGCAGTTTTCAGTACAGAAATTAACCCCGTAATCTAACTAGAGACTCCTCAGTGATTTGTGATGAAAAGCAAGCATCATTAACACCCCCTGTAAAACAGGGTTTGGCAAACACTTTACCGATAGCTAATCTTCCAGCCAGAAGCACTCACTTTAAATCAGCTTTCTTCTGCACTAAAAATCTGTCCTGGGTTAGTCTGCACAAATATGTTACTTTAATTGACCTCCATCCAGCAAGCTTTTTTTCTGAAAAATTCCACTTAAAACTTAATTTTCGCCTTACAAAAAAATTAACCCCTCTGAGTCCAAAAGAGCAGAAGAACAGTATGGAAAACT